GTACAGCCAATTGTGTCACATGAATGATACTGGCGATTACTTAGACTAATAGATACTCATAGAATGCGTCCACGAATACATACGCCGTCAAAGGCAATAGCCTCCATCCTGCGATGTAAGAGGACTCCCCTCCGAAATCGACCATATGCCACCGCGGCAGCAGCGTTCACGCCAGCTGCTTCGCACGAGCAAATGACTAAAGCATCTCCTCCCATATCTCGCTTTCCCTCCACCCAACCACCATCCTACAAACCTCCCGAGTTCCGCAAATCTCAACTCCTCAGAAAATATGCTTCACTACTTCGCTCAACACCCCTCATGCTCCTCTTCCAACACAATAACCTCAAAGCTATGGAGTGGTCGGCCATCCGTCGCGAACTCGCTATTGCCCTCCGCAAAGTTGATGCAGCCCGCGAGGCAGAAGGCCAGCCCCACCTCAATCTCGCAGATGGTATCAAACTCGAAATCGTACAAACAGGAATTCTTGCCGCCGCTCTCCGCATCGTCGAATTCTATAAACCTGATTCCCAAGTTTCTAAGTTAGATCCCACAGATCCAGCAACTCCTTCTTCTGCGACTTTACCAATTGTAAATGCAAAGGGTGATGGGTTGACACATACTCTTTCGAGCGCGGCTCATGAAGCTATTTCGGATAGGAAAATTAGAAATGCCCATGATCTTTCACCGTTATTGGCTGGCCCAGTTGTACTTCTAACGTTCCCTGGTGTCTCGCCGCAACATATGAAGACGGCTTTGACCATTTTGTCACCTAGCGCTCCATTGTTCCCTGCTCCTAAAAAGAGGGCGAATCCAGGGTGGCATGATCCTACAGTTCAAAGTGGGTTACAAAAGTTATTGTTACTAGGAGCGAGAGTAGAGGGTAAGGTGTTTGACGTTGATGGTACCAAATGGGTTGGAAGCATTGAGGGCGGTCTGGACGGTTTACGAGGCCAGTTGGTGGCCATGTTACAAGGTATTGGTGGTGGAATTACAAATACTTTGGAGAGCGCTGGAAAGAGTCTATACTTCACCGTTGAAGGTAGAAGGTCGATGCTGGAAGATGAGGCAAAGGGGCCTTCTGAGGAAACTCCTAAGGAGTAAATCCAATCAAATAATGAATAAGCATGTAACGGAATGTATTATATCTGCAGAAACGGAATACTGTTTCGAGGACCATTTGCATCGTAAATCTTGAAATCATAACCATTTCTGGTCTATTCCTCATCTATGAAGGAGGATCTGAAGGGCGATCTTTCTCTCTAAGCTCCAGCTTTGCATTCATTGCCAAGATACACCTCACCAAGTCCCAGTCCCCATCTGTTCCGACCCAATCACAAACCACAATTCCCGTACTACCATCACCTACACTTGCACTATCTGGCTGCTCACTGGATGTTGTTTCACTATGCCTTCTGCATAGATAATCAACGATCACGGGATTAACCTTTTCTGCAATCTTGTCTGGCCAACAGTTCGCTCTCCAAAAGTTCGAGGCACTCAAGAAATTCATGAAGAATGGTTGTTTTGCCGATTCAGCGCTCGCAACACCCATATATTCAGACAGTACGGCAACGGTTTTAGCAGCTCTTTCGAGTTGATCTGTGGAATATCCAATCTTCTTCTCGATATTTGAAGACTCCGCAACCTCGTAGAAGTCTTGTACTCGGATTTCTCCACTAGTACATACACCATCTGCACAGTTGTCTGGCCAACTTTCCGCGTCGATATATAGACCCGTTCCATTGTTCTCGTCTTTTAAGGAGTCGTCTAGGCCGAAGCGACGTATGACAACAATCTTCCCGCGAACTTCTCCTAGAGCTGGAATGCGATTGCCTGTGAACCAGCGAGTAGAATCCTGAGTGTAATGATGGTTGAGAATTTGACTAAGTTGTTGATCCGTAGCCTTTCCAATACCTTCTCTTTTTATAGACATTATAACTGTTTCCGTAGGATTCGCATCCAGAAATACTTTCACATGGTTGACCAAATCGCGAAAGTACTTGTGGCCCGTGAGGGAAACTGGAAAAGCGCTATGGACGAGAATTAGACCCTCTGCAGCAGGATCATTGGGATCCTGTGGTTGAACTCGTATATCGAGGAAACGAATACCATTATTGAGTTGCTCCTTTACGCTGACAGCTTGACAGCGTACGGAAGGTAATGCGGCGTGGTACGTTGGGGAATTATGGGTACCGGGTATACTGAGAGCGGCTAAGGGAGTTTCGTCTTTGAGATTGGACATCCATGATGCTAATTTGGCCGAGGAGAAGATTGCGAGAAAATGGTATTTAGGTAGATATACACCTGTAAATTCATAGGTGGGATTGTGCGAGAGAGGTGTGAGAACGGTTGAGCGATGCAATGGGGTTGGGGTATCAATTCGATATCGTTCGCCATTTGTCTCGAATGTTAATCGCAGGACTTGGTTTCCTTGGGTTTCTATATCTGTAACTTTGGTTTCAAAAGGAGCAATTGGTATTGAAACATCCTGACGACTGAAGCTTTCGGCTTTTTCTGCTAATTGTGGTGAGGTTGGAGTGCTGTTAAGGTACATGAACCCAGTGAGACTTCTGGTTATTCTGGTGATATTTACCCCGCTAGCTTTCCCTTCTGCAGATTCAAATCGTTCCAGTGATTTTAATTCGAGTGGAGTCGTAGAGAGATTCCGTATTGTCAGTGCTGGTGGTGCCATGATTGTGCAGGTGTAAATCAAGTATCTAATTGTGTGGTTGAAATATGGTTATATTATGATATGATTATTCCATTCTATGTTTTGTCTCTTGCCAGTAGAGATTCATGAGATGCTCGAAAAGTATCATGCTCTCGGCAGTGTATAATGTATCTTAGACAATATTTAGCAATAGCTAAGAAAAAGAGAAAACTGTAATAGCTTGCTGTCTAATTGCATTTTGAGCAATAGAGGGGTCCAAGTTTGATATGTTTTAAAAGGTTCCGAGGTTGATTTGGATATCAAAGATTAACTATGAATAGATGGTCGGGTAGGGCATGATTGTGGCTTATATTAGCGAGCAGATTTATATTGTCAGAATGATCAGTCACTTACAACAATCAAGCAACAAGCAACAAGCAAGTTGGCGCAGTGGAAGCGCGCCGGGCTCATAACCCGGAGGTCCCCAGATCGAAACTGGGACTTGCTAACTTATCTTTTGGATTTTGAGTCTCAAATCCTCTCTTTACAATTTTCCCATGTCCCTAATGCTCCTTCCTGGCACAGCCGAAATAACTTTTGCTAAAAATTGCAATAATAAGTTGTGGGTTGTGATCTAATGACCTATAATATGGCCCGTGCACACTGCATCTAGTTATCAAAAGTTAAAGACTTCAATATACCTATTTATCATTTGTTTTTGAGCAAGGCCCTCACAAGCCAACACAACCATTGTTCGATGGCCTTGTATTTGATTGATCTAATCCAACCTCCCACACAAACGAGCCTGTTAGCTACCTAACAAGTTTGGATAAAGCATATTTAACTCATGTTAATCTACTTCAACTGTGGATCATAGAGCCCACAAGAGGGTCCGCCTCTTGTGGGCTTCGTGGGGGTTGATTTTTGTATGTGATTTTGCTCAAGTGAGTAAATAAGAAGTTTAATCTAAACTCTTGGTTTTGTGGGAACGATGTATTATAACTCCCTCCATCCATTCAACCATGACAAGTGTTTGATAGAATTCGAGAATGTGTTTTCATTGGGATGTAGTTTGTTCCATTTGAGGGGAGACTGCAAAGTTGGATGACATCTACTTGGTGAAAGTATCTATCTTCTTACATTTTGAGAGTTTAATAGTTTGACTGCTGGATTTGTGTTTGCTTGGTACTATGGTTTATCTCACAATCAGTCTGATCTTCGAACTAAATTCATGCAACGAACCTTCCTGTCCTGCTAACATTGCATAGGTACTATATATAATATACACTGGTGCATGGAATAAGTTAAATTACACCGCCTTCGCTAGCCAGGATCACTTTGGGTAGGCAGAATGATATTATTGCTGGCAAAAAAAAAGCGGTGTAACGTAACTTAGTCCATGCACCAACGTAAGTATATTCGCACCCAAAACTTCGAGAGAAAAAATATCAAAACTATCAAAAGTGGCAAAAATGCAAAAGTACTCGCATGAGATCAGAACTCTCTGACGGGGAGTCGAACCCCGGTCTCCCGCGGCCTTGCCATGATGATGACAAGCGGAAATCATGACCGTTAGACCATCAAAGATGTTGTTGTTATTGTTGAAGAAGCGGCAGTTTTTTCAATATATATACATATCTGCTTGCATTTTCAAGTATTGAAATATGGAACAAGTCTTCTTAATTGAATCACTCATTTCTATAAACTCAATCATCAAAGTTTCTGAATCTCGATGCACAAAGAGACTTTTAGGTTTTTGAAGGTTCTCAAATAGTAAACCTCGCTGTCGCCAATATGCTTTGGCTCAGATATGTAACAAAACTTTTGAAGTAACAATTAGCTTTTATTTTCCCCTCTTTTTATATACAATAATTCACTTTATCTTGCACTTTATCTTGATAAATTCTTCTCTCTTTTTCTTTTCTTATTTACAACCTCTCAAAATATACAATCTCTCTTCAAATAATCAGTTCGATATCCATCCTTTACTTATAATCATATTCTTCTTCATATCAAAGCCTGTCTTTAAACCAAATCGCCGTTTTGATTAGAACAGACAATATAGTAATATCAAGGAGAAGAGGAAGAGGAAAGATATATTAGATCTTTAATAGAATCTGATATATAATTAATGATTAGAGATTTACTCTTCTGAATAATCTTATTGTTTATAAGAATCAAAGCTATATATAATAAAAAAGAGAACTCTTGCTTAATAAGACCTAATTCAAACAATCTTATCAAGATGAAATAATAACGCATCCTATCCGATATACGACCTGATATGGATGTCGCGCGAATCGATGGATCTGAGCCAAGGCAATCAATACATTGATGGCGTGATTGAAAGTCAGCCGGTGAGACTCCATGAATCATAATTAGTTTTGATCAGGCATATCTTCATCTTCAATGTCATCCTCAAACTCGTCTTCATCTTCGTTTTCACAAAATCATAACAATCGATACAGCCATCATAGTGACCAAGATGCTCCTCTGAAATATCATATTCAGAGTCAGAATCGTCCAACAGATCCCGGTATGCTTGCCGACTCAGCATCTTCCATTGTCTTTCGTTCTTAATATTGGCATCGAACAAATGTTCTGTTCTCCAGCGTTGAGTTTCGTCTTGCTCTGCATATTCAGGGTCTACTCTGGCGTAGCGTTTCACGTTCTTGATAGATTCGACTGATCGTTCTGGTCCTTTGAGATACTGTCGTGCAAAGTCAGTAAAGTGTACAATCGGGTACCCGCACGCGTTGGGAATCAACCTCTATAACTTCTTCTGCGATGAGTACAGCAGCATTGATCCAATGTAATTTATCTCAATACAACATGTCGTATAGAGACATCACCACGTGTCTGGCCTTCCAATCCTTTCTTGGTGACAATTCGAGAATACCACTGGCTTCGCGTTGAGTAGCATGTTCTCTGGGGGTTTCATCGGATCTGAGGTTGTTTCCCTTGTGTCTTTTCAATAGCATCTTCTGAGCATGCGCGACTGATCTTGTTACCATTAAGGTATTGTGGGACAGTTTCTGAGAACGGAATGCCAGCTTCATGACAGACCTCAGATATCTTAGTGCACAGTTAAGCAAAAGGAGGGAAGAAGAAAATGAAGTCAAGAAGGGGTAAAGACTTAAGAAAAAGACTCACTTGTCACTTTTATGGAGCAGCCTTCAATCTATACTTTCGATTCCATATGTCTCTAGTTCAATGCCAATGTGTTTCTCTCCGAATTTAGTTTTAGATGTGAGTAGATGTACTTCTCGAGCCCTAAACTTGGATTCCATATATGCACAGATGAAACGGATATGTGGTGATCGAGATGATGATTGTAACCCATCGAGCTTTGATATCTTGCTTAAGGCAAGGAGCAGCCTATATGATGGTTTGATTATCCATGTACCTCTTAGAAACCCCTGCAAACCCCAAAGCTTCAGATTGGGCCTTCTCTCCAATTCTTCGATCCGACCAGGAATCTCATACGTTACTTTTACTGGCAGGAAATACCCATAATCAACGCTCAGTCTATCTCATGGAATACGTGCGGCTCTCGCAGTTGTATTTAGCCAAAGCAAGTCGACACACGTCTATAATAGAGTCTACGAGCTATACGACGTCGCATTCTAAATTGGGTTGTTACTTAGACAGGCGGAGTTTAAAATATCAGATACCTGTCGCCCTGCTGGCAGAGAATGAGAAGAAACTTAGTGACCAGTCATACCTGCTGATTGTGCCTTGATATACTCGCTAGAGTTGTAAGATTCGAAATTGTAGATGATTTCTTCCGCATAAAACCATGCTTGCCATAGTATGATAAGCGACTAACTATGACCGTAGACCCATGTGTTGATTTCGAGACGGATGTAGAAACATGTACCTGACCTCCGCCCGAGGGCATGTATCCGGTTGAATATATGTCTACGACCAGAGTATGTTAAATATCAGATAATTCATATCAAATTGCTATTAGCATGAAAGTTTTATTGTTAAATTTGGCTATGGAAATGGACATCAATGGTATGTGCAAGAATCTCAAGTATAACGTCGTAGTAACCTGCACCTTCGCTCCCTTCTTTGCATCCGATAACGTATAAGCAGTTTTTGGGCAAAGATATTGCATCCAGTAGCATCAGAAATAAGCGCCGAATGATCAGCTCAGAGGCTACGCCTGAATGAATGCGCCCTTGTTAACCACAGCCCATGATGAAATATGAAAATAGGAATAATAATTCTTTTTAAACTTTTGAATATGAGTAGCAACGCATTTAGTGACGATGAAATTAAAGATCCGCGGCAAATAAAAATCGGATGTCTTTCAAGACAGAGAGTAACGCATCGATTGATGATGATGGAATATGAAGGTCAGTAATGTAATCGAATTCGAGTGCAAAACCATGCTGTTTTGATGAAGAAACGGTATGACTGTAGAATGTCAGTATTGCATTAGATACAGAAGATACAGATCTTACCAACAGAGAATGAAAGCCATACTATAATAAAGGCTATTCTGCATCTTCAAAGGAGAATAATTGCAATGGCGGTTCTTCCCGTCTTTGTTCAGACTCTAGACGCCATTGTTCACGTTTAGCTGTCATCTCCACCTCGGTATTCTGGTATGAAGCTTCCCGCTGTATGCCAGTCAGATATATTGTAAGACTACAACATGGGGAATCAAAGTGCACGACTAACCTCGAGTATCTCTTCAGTCGTGAGGTAAGGGACATCGCTCATATCAGCATCCCCCTCGAGCATGTCTGTGACTATATCATAGGTCGATCGACGGTTCAGAACCCAGTGTTCGTGCAACGCAAACGGCTCGATAGCAAGCAAAGGAGGTGCCACATATTCTAAGGTTTTGGCAATTAAACCATCAATTCTTTCCTTTTGCTCCTGCTGTAAAGTTTGGTCAGTACACAGGTTTTGCTGACCCTTGAATGTGTTGCTGACGTATACGTACCAAGCTGTGTAAGCCCTCAAGCATACGTTTTCGAAGGATTTGTCCCTTATTTGCCAAAGTGGCTACTACACTGGCTGGTGTCTCAGAGCGAAGAAAATGGTTGTTTGCAATAAAAAAAGCAATGAATCCTGCGTCTTTAGATTCCTCACGTTGAAAATATGCCAAATCGGATTTCTCGCTATGCATTTCGTTAGACGATTGATGGTGATGGGATCTTGTGAATTGTGATAATGTCTTTCCGAGAAGCATAATTTGAGAGCCAGGGAGACATACCTTCTTGTGAGGGATGGAGTGTTAGAGTTCTTACGGCGCTTAGGGGTTGAGCCGGAGTGATTGTTGAAAGAAATGGCAGCGGCAGGTCTCTTGGAACCTGCTGATACTGAAGAGGACATGGTTAATGGCGGGACTTCAAATTGATAAAAGTGTGCTTTGGCTTGATTTGAAGGTCACCAGCTGTTATGGTTTCGCGTAGCTGTTCTCTTTTAGTAAATTTGGCTGTAGCACTGGACCTGCATCTGAAAGGTGAATTTGCTTGAGAAGCCGGTAAATCATAAGAGACTACAACGAATACATGATCGAGTGTACTTCGGGTATTTTGAGTAAGAATATATCAGGTGCGACCCGGGAGGGAAGCGGCGGCCGATGAATGTTGGTGCAATAAGTATTTTCATCACCAATGCAGTAGGAATATTGCACTGTGTAGATTGGCTTCGAATTGAATTTTTTTGAAGACTATTTAGCAACCTGCTTTGATTATTGCCAAGCGGAGCGCAGATTATTATACTGTAGAAAAGCAAGTGAATGACAGATAGACAGTGATTTTACGAATCTTAAACTTTAACTAAACTCCTCGAAAGCCTTAGAAAAGAGAGCCAATATCTATCGCCATTACCCCAGATACTTCAGCGGTATCAGCCTCCCACCAGCGATCAATCTCACCGACCCTAAACATCTCCTCCATTGCAAACTTTGCAGCCCAAGTTCGCGTGGTTCGTTGAGTTGCTGCAAGACCAGTATAGTTGCCAATTTCTACACCACATCCCCTTGAGGCAATAGGCGTAACGAAATAAGGAAGCAAATAACGCTTCTCGCGATCCGCTAGCATCATCTTAGCTGCGTTGGCGACCACTCTTGTCTTTTCGGCATTCTTTATAATCTGTTTCTGGGCACATTGCTCATCGACATTGACTGCGTTGAACGATTGTTGAATAGTTGCAAGTGTTTCTATGGCTCTTCCCGGAGTAATTTCCACAAAACTTCCAGAAAGAAGCTCCCAAATCCTCCTAGAAGGAAGAGTATCAAAATTTTGAATCAACCGGTCCAGCACAGCAATCACGGCTTTGGACTGTTCAATGGCCAAGTCTTGAGCTTTAATCACCTTATCCTACGATCAGTCAGAGAGGCTCAACCAAAATTCCTTTTAATCTGCTACAGATAGAAGATTTACCTACCAACTTTTTATATTTGGCGGAAAAAGCAGACAAGATACTCATGCGAGCTTTCCAAGATTCTTCCTGGCTATGCTTGGCAAACAAAGTTTTGTTGTATCTGGCTGCTATATCAACTGCATCCACGAGGCTCATATGTGCAACCGGAAATTTGATTATGAGCGACTTTTTTGCTGGAGGCGCATCCAAACTATATGTGTGACGTTAGATGCAGAAGACAAAATAGAACACGCAGGAACAAACGCGATGGGGAAGAGTAACGACATACTTGTCAGATCCAGACCGCTTGATTCTAATAATTGAGGACATAGAGTAGGTAGCTTGATCGTGTACCAAGACGTGGGTTGGGATTAGGTCGAACTGAGTGCCGGCAGCAAAAGACAACCCCAAAGAAATAAATTGATGGATAGAAGCGATCTTGTATGTGCTTACTTCAAGTAAAAGTAGAGGCGGCAACGGACAGTGCTAGAAGATAGTTGTTACCGTCAGACCGTGAGCGAAGTGAAATTTCAGAGGTAAGAATGGGCGATGCCGTAGTATATACAGCACCTGGAAGATTGTGGAAGATCGGAATTTCCAATCCGACTATCGTCTTTGTGACTGGAGAGCAAAGCAAATTGAAAGCAAGATCGACATTCGTGGAAGATATGGAAGTTGAAGAAAGAAGATATGATCACAACGTCGAAAGCATACTTAAATACCCACTCACTTCGGAATTAAGCGAGACAATGAGGATAAAGGTGAGTTTCGAGATCCGAGTGAATTTACTCTAACAGCTACCTACATTGTAGTTGTGTGATGAACTGAATCAGATAGGCTCGAGAAATGCTATGAAATTTTATACTGAAAGCAATCATGTGCATTGAGTATATTTTGCCAAACTCTTGATTGGTCCAGTCTGCAGTTCGACAATCAGAATCTTTCAATGTCTAATCTAATTAGATGATTCGAATGGTTCGAAAATGTCGAATTCACTCTGAACAATGCACTACTTCCAAACATTGAGAGCTTGCATCCAGTCTACCAATTTGGAACGTCTCTGACAAGTATTGGAGTCAGAATCGACCCCTTGGGAAGGCTGCTCTGAATAGGTATGTACGTTAAAACATAGATTTTTAGCCATTGAAACCCCTGACGTTCGCTCTGATGAACGAATTGGTAATGGAAACTATGCGTTTTTCCTTAATAAAGCGCAATTAGAGAGGATGAATGTCAGCCTTATTCGCTTCAGCAAAGAGGTGCATGCTAAGATCTAGGCATGTAAAGTCATCGCTGGAAGAGTGGTTACCTCTGTCAACCCAAATATGAGTCGGAATCAAGATGCCAATCTTTGCTTTTGATGCAGGTGATATTGATTACCCTTTTCAAGCTTTCAAGTGGGAAGGAATTGTTTGGAATTGGAATAGGAGTAGATGCTTGCCGCCCATACCAGAATCGATTTCCAATGGTTCATCCGAACGATGGCAGATATCCCTTTGTTGGTGGAGAGGTCACTACCTCACCACCTCCTTCGTGATCACTCTATAGAGCCTGAAAGTATCCAGACTACTGTAATCGACGACGTAATTGTCACTGACAACCTTGCCAATGGGAGAAGTTTATTTCGTACTAAAACATGCCGGATTTGGGACTATGCTGAGGCGCTCCACGCTCATCAGGTTACAGCAAGGCAGCGTCGCAGACTAACTGGAATTAGTGACCATTCATTGAACAAGTTCTTTCATCAGAAAGCCTGTGGCTTCAAAAATGATAGTCTTAAATCAATTTTGAAATTTTTGTTGTTAATCTACGTATTGATGCGAAGAAAGCCCATAGATCAAATCGCTTCGCGAAACTTTCACCGAGCTTCGACTCTCAAGACTTCCAGGTTGCGACTATCACCACATCAACCCCCACCCGAGCTGTCCCATAAACAAAACACCACAGATCGTACCAACCATGGAGCAAAGACAAAATATCGAAGGCGCAACTGCTCCATTTCCTACCAACCCCGAAGAATTTGATTCCGACGATCGCATATCATTTTCGAAGCTCGACCAGAAATACCTGCTCGTGCAAGACGATGGTACAGAATTTGAATTCGATGATGCGATCAAACGATGGATACCGGTGTTAGATGAGGCATTATTGGAAGAACAGCAGAAAGCATATAAAGTATCTGGAGTAGATGAGAGTGAGCCAGTTGATGCTATAAAGAGGAAAAGGAAGCAGGAGTATGTCAATGGCGAGGATGTAAGTCAATTTTAGGCTTCATATTCGAGATGGATTTTTGATTGTGCACCCGTTCTCCCAGCTTTTTACAGCGTTTTATATCTACTTATCTTGGTTTGGTATGCGATACCTAGCTGGAGCTTATGCAATTATCTGCCTTTTCATTTCATTCATTATCTTCGATGCTGAGTCTACCTAGGAGGGTGGCCGAATGGTAAAAGCCCCAAAGAAAACCAAAAAACCTCTACCACCACGAGCAAACACCGCAGTTTATGTTACTGGTCTGCCATCCGACGTTACTGTCGAGGAAGTTCACGAAGTCTTTTCACGAAAGTGCGGTGTTATCGCCGAAGAAATCGACAGCGGAAAACCGAGAATTAAGCTTTACACAGACGAGAAAGGAGAATTCAAGGGCGACGCTCTTATCGTCTTTTTCAAGGCACCATCTGTGCAGATGGCGATAATGTTACTGGATGATACGGATTTTAGGATAGATGGAGGCACATCTAAAGAGAGAATCAAGATGCGGGTTCAGGCTGCAGAGGCGAGCTACAAGAAGGTTCAACAAACAGACGCAGATGGAAATGAGAAAGAGAAACCTAAGACCAGTATGAAGGATAAGCAGAAGATTATCAAAAAGACGCAGAAATTAGATGCGCGACTGGCAGATTGGAGCGATGACGAGCCATCAGCCCTTGTGGAAACCAGCTCGAAGTGGGATAAAGTCGTTATATTGAAACATATGTTCACTTTGAAGGAGCTAGAAGAGGATCCAGCTGCAATGCTGGATATCAAGGAAGACATTCGAGATGAGTGTGGCAAGCTCGGCGAGGTAACGAATGTGGTTCTGTACGATTTGGAGAAAGATGGAGTTGCGAGTGTAAGATTTGCAAACGCGGAATCAGCGAAAGCATGCGTTAAGTTGATGAATGGGCGAAAATTTGATGGTCAAGAGGTCGAAGCTTATATTCCGGATGGAAAGGAACATTTCAAGAAATCGAAGAAGAAAGCAAATGATGAGGACCATGGAGAGTCAGAATCAGATTGATTAGGCTGGAAGTGACGCATAGGCAACTTGAGTATGATTGTTCTCGTGAGGTAAAGTTCATAACATTGGCTACCAGTATCGGTGTTGGTATAAAACAGAGAATCGGATGCAGATTTATATTAATACTAATAATATCTTACTTGACCAATATCTTCTTATCTGACTTGCAAACGCTCTCGACTTTTCTATCAGAAATTCTTCCCAAGCTTCCGGAGCTTCCCCTGTTCCCGTCCTAGCCGTTCTTCTAGAATAACCCCTAACTGCCCTGCCAGCTATCACTCACTCGAGAGCCCGATTGGTTACCAGATCCACATTAAATCTTCGTACCTGGCTTGCGAAATTATCAAATTTATTGCCAGACCGACATAAGAGTAAACATTCCTTTTGATTCTTCACAAGAAGTGAAACATACATTCATTCAATTCACAAATTCCCATTATGAAGCTCCTCACCTACGGAGCCATCTTTGGTCTCCTCACTGCTCTCTACTACTTTTTAGATGCACGTCTCGAGTCCTTCTACATCTTCACACCGACTCAACTTCATGATCTCTCCCAGCGCGCCATTGGTGCTCACGGTAATGATACCGCTCAGGTTGTGAAGTTCATTGTGGATGAATTGAGCGAGAAACATCCCGGTGGTTACATCAATCTGGATCAGGAATGGATTTTTAATAACGCTGGCGGGGCTATGGGTGCTATGTATATTATTCATGCTAGTAAGTTCCCAATGAGGTCACGGGTCTAAGGTTGGGATCGTTTGAGGAGACGAGAGTGCTAATTCGCTTTATAGGTATTACGGAATATTTGATTATCTTTGGTTTGTTCACCAATGGGTAGATTCAGAGTCTGAGTGAGGATACTGACTGTGCATAGGAACTACAATCGGTACTGAAGGACATACCGGTCGTCACACAGCTGATGATTATTTCCACATCATTCACGGAACTCAACTCGCCTACACCCCTGGAGACTTTGAACCTGAAGTCTATCCCCAAGGAAGTGTTCACCATCTTCGTCGTGGTACTGTCAAGCAGTACAAGATGGATGCGGCTTGTTTCGCTCTTGAGTATGCTAGAGGTTGGATCCCACCTATGTTGGGTTTTGGATTTGCCGATGGTCTTACCAGTACTTTGGATTTCCCAACTTTGTGGAGAACAACTTGGGTTACTGGTAGAGAAATGGTTTTGAACCTCGCCAGGTTCAAGCTGTGAAAAGCTTTGTTTCCATTCGAAGCACTATTTGAAGGTTATTGAAGAGGAAAGGATCCATTTATAGAGCTCTTGTGAGCAAGTACATAGCACTTCTTTGTCTGTAGATACCTATACCTTGTAATAATTTGACATGCGCATCATGAATTAACGTGGTCAAGCATAGCGTCTTTTGGAAATTGTTTCACCTACTACATTATTCTGCAAGTTTCGTGATAGTCTCCGGCTTACTCAAGATTTCTCTCTCTTCGATTATACTTGTATTTGCCCACTCCAAATTTCCCATAGACATTCCTCACAGCACTCAGTCAGAATCCTCGTCAGATCCATAATCTACCAGTCCTAGTCCTTTGTTGGATGGTGGAGGTGATGGCTTCTTGACTGCTACCAGCTTGGGTGCTACCTTTACAGGCTTTGAGTCCAAGGTTTTGGCTGAATCGTTAGAAGTTGGTGGCTTAGTACTCGTTGCAATTGAGTCAGAATCGTCTTTCGCAGGCTTCGTTGACAGGTCTTTGGTAGATGTGGAGGGTGAAGCTTGTTCTGCGGAAGATGAAGCTCTCCTAACTTTGACTCCCTTCAATACCTCCTTATCCTTCGTACGCTTGCGCTTTCGACCCGTAGTGCCCCATTCATCCCCCCGCACCGGCGAACCATCTTGTGTTTGTGCTCCATCATTATCTGCTGCTCTCGCCTTCTTGTCTGCATCTTCTTGTTGTTTTCTAAATAGCTCTAGTCCCTCCGCAGTTTCTTTTCGCACTCTATCTTCTTCAGCCCTCGTACTTTCTAGAACAGAATCCAAGAACTCGATTTCATCTTCATCTAATGATCGGAATTGATTCTTGAGTTTATTGGCTTCTTCGAATGCATCTTGTTTGGCAGCTGGTTTATTCAACGCACCCCTAAGTGATCAGCCTACGAAATCAACGCGTGGGCAGGTGCAAGGACCCTAGATGTGTACCTTTATTTGCTTCTAGGATCTCGAACAAGCTCTTTCCATCTTGTTGTCTAGCTTCGATAGCTTTTCGTTGTCTATTAGCCTCTATTTCTTGTTGAGCGGCTAACCATTCATCACTGCGCTCAGTTGGAGCATCTGCGGTACCACCTGATACGAATCCGGAGGACATTTTCGTTTTGGTTGGATGCGCACGAATGGTACCGAGGCGTCTAGTTTCTAGTTTCTAAGGTTCGTGAGATTGCGCCGACAAGGTTTCTCGACATCACGTGTGTGACATTTCCACTCCCCGCCTTCTCCCCCGCTACGGAGCAATCTCACGCTTTAGGACGGAACTCTACAAATTTCTGAATTGATTTGGATTCGTGAGGTTCTAGAAGTCAATATAGCATTTAGGCTAAAGTCTATCCTCCAATCCAAGCTAGGTCCATCTTTTGCCATACAAACGCTATACGGAATCCAATTTTTTGCCTCTCAAATATGTGAATTGGGAAGTTTTTTCAAGCTATGATGGGGGATTCTGACGTAGGAAATTACTAGGAATGCTCTCAAACGGCATTGCTAAACATGATTGGCGCGCATGTCAATCTTCCTTCGGTTCAATATAGCCTGAAGTGGGATTGCCCCTCCATGCTCCACTCAGCGACAGAGAACCTTCTACCAGAGCCCCTCATCGTGCAGCGGATTATCTTTGGATTTCACGTATCGACAGGTTGAAACTGCTTCATATGGAATAGAGATAACCCGGAGGTAAAGTATTTTGTGGAAATTCTATAGGTTGTCGTCATCCGGTATCAAATAATCCTCATGCACGGCTTTCTGGGTCAAGTAAAGGTATAAGTATTCGTTTTGTCCTCCCGCTTTCTTGTCTTACTTCTCTTATTCCTTCTATTTTACACTCAAAACATCTTACAAACCTACAAACCGCAAATATGTCTGCAAATAACGTTACCTCGTAAGTACTTCCATTTCGACCCCTTGACAGGAATTCACGTCAAAAGCAGAAGTCTGCGCAGACTGGCGACTGTCACATCCCATTTCAACCCAATTCGTAACATAAGCTCACACACTATACCTCTATCCAGAAAGACCTTCACCCTCAACACTGGTGCTAAGATTCCAGCTATTGGTCTCGGCACATGGCAATCACCACCAGGTGAAGTTGAGAAGGCTGTAGAGATTGCCCTTCGCAAAGGTTACAGACACATTGATACAGCTGTAAGTCGATGAGCATATTGTGGGATCAGATTGAACTCTGACAGATTATTAGCTTGCATACGGAAACGAATCCGAAGTTGGTCAAGGTATCAAGGCGTCCGGTGTCCCAAGAGAAGAGATTTGGCTTACTACCAAACTCGACAATCCATGGCACAAGAGAGTTCAGGAAGGTATTGATTCTTCCTTGAAGTCGCTTGGTACCGATTATGTCGACTTATACCTTATGCATTGGCCATCATCCACCGACCCAGATGACTTGAAGAAGCACTACCCTGATTGGGACTTCATCAAGACATGGCACGAAATGCAAAAGCTCCCTGCCACTGGCAAAGTAAAGAACATTGGTGTATCGAACTTTGGTATTAAAAACTTGGAGAAGCTCCTCAGCGACCCAGGAACCACCGTATGTCCAAGCCCCATTGTTTGCCTATTACTCCCTCATTCTAACTATCATATAGATTGTTCCAGCTGTTAACCAAATCGAGCTTCACCCAAACAACCCTTCCCCAAAGCTCGTTGCATACAACACATCAAAGGGTATCCACAGCACCGGCTACTCTTGTCTCGGTAGCACAAACTCGCCTCTGTACAAGGACCAGACCTTATTGTCTCTCGCAGAAGCAAAGGGCAAGACTCCACAACAAGTACTTCTCGCCTGGGGTATCCAAAAGGGATGGTCTGTCATTCCAAAATCCGTCAACAAGGAACGTGTTGAGAAGAACTACGAGCTTGATGGTTGGGAATTGACTAGTGAGGAAGTTGAGAAATTAGACAACCTGAAAGATAGATTCAAGGTTTGCGGAGATGCTTGGTTACCTATCAAGGTCTTCTTCGGCGATGATGAGTAAAGGATTTAATTGTATATAATTTAGAGATACCATGAAGTAATTGAATATAGAGCTTCTCATGACCATTTCGCACTTTGCACTCTTTGAAAACATGTCTTACAACATTTTGTCATCGTTGCTCGTGATGCCTCTGGATTTTGGGTTGAATCATGTATATCACACCATGAATCGATGTATCTGAACAATTTTGATGATTTACTATCATGAAATAAATAAACAATTGATTGCCTTCAAAGAATCAAAAAGTTGTCGGGAGTACTGCGATAAAGAAGCAAGTCGCATCATAGCCTCGGTAAAATAAATTCCATCCCCAAGCTCTTTCATCCACAATTGAACATCATCAACTCGAGTCTACACAATATGCATATCACGATAACATCATTATAGCCCTTTTGTAGGGGCTTCTCAATCATCATGACTTGTCCGTTTTGCAGCATCGCATCCAATTACCCACCATCCTCATCTCTCGCAAGCCCAGATCTTACCACTCCATCCGCGTTCGTAGTCCTCAGCACACCTCAGTGCATGGCATTTCTCGATATTATGCCCCTTTCCCCCGGACATCTACTAGTCACAACTCGTAACCACAACGAAAAATTATCGGACGTGAGTGAAGAAGAAGCGCGAGAGTTGGGCGAATGGCTCCCGAGACTATCTCGAGTGTTAGCTAAGGTCACCGGTGTGTGGGACTGGAATATTGTTCAAAATAACGGTGAGTTACCCCGGGATTCGTGTCTTGGAAGTTCTGCCGCATCTAGGGTTATAGCTAGGTCTATTATGGATATCTGGTAGAAACGACGGAATGGAGAAATCGTTGCTAATGATGGAGATAAATATAGGAGCGGCTGCAGCGCAAGTGGTACCGCATGTACATTTTCATATTATCCCGAGACCGGGGCTAACTCCCGAGTTACGCAATCGATCTTTTACGATGTTTGGGAGGGGGCAGAGGAGCGAGTTGGATGAGGATGAAGCTAAGGTTTTAGCGGCGCAGTTGAGAGAGGAATTGGGAAGAGAGATGGAGGGGATTGGGAAGGGCAAACTATAGAAGGCGTTGATTGAATATACCAAGCATATATGCGAGATTGAGATAGGAGATCGAGATATCCGTACCTGGGAGCTGTTTATTAATAATACATTAGAGCATAAGATCGATTGGAGGGGAAAGCAAATTGTACAATAAGGATGGCAGCACGCACAGGAACGGTATGCATATACCGGTTTGAAACAAATACAAAGGTTCTCCTAGGATCTGCTGAAGTTTTGGAACGTACCTGGATCTCGGATTATGATAAACGCAATACTTGGGGGGTGGCATGAGTACGGCACCGAGTGCACCAAAAAGGAAGCAACTAAGCAGCCACTAGTCAATAAGAACAAAGGACAGCTCACGGTACTTGACCATGTCTCTCTTCTCCTTCCAACTATCAAGCATCAAGGACAAGTGTTCATCAATAATCGATGCATGTCTGGCCTTCTAAAAGTTTTTTGGACTTGGAAACACTTGGCCCCTCTTGCTGTTTCCAAAATGACTTCTTTCTTGCACCTGCCATCGTTTTGCTGACGTTTCTATCTGTTAAGTTTCCACTCTGTTTATCATTGACTGCATTCTTTTCAGGGGTCTTTGGACACAAACCTGGGCATTGATCTGAAGAGACATTTGACACTTCTCCGTCTTCGTACTTAGAAGTTCTAGACTTTCTCAACTCATAACCTCAACACACACGTCTCAGCGGTCTGCAAGCCATTTCCATCCATATGATTCCTCGATATCTGAATTTCCGGTTATCCTCACCCACGGAAATTCTCTTGAACCTCGGATTAGACCTCAAAGCATCATTTGGCATATTGAATGATGCTTGTTTGAAGACAGTTCAGGAGACGACACCGCTAATCTGCCCACATTCCAGCTATCTACTGTTGTATTTGTGGCGAAGGAGTCGAGGTTCTCCAGGTTTTAGGAGTTTCCAAGAACGAAAACATTGGCGAAAGCCAAGAGTTGTGTATATTGTCGGCTCAAGTGTATCATTGTAAAGGAGAATGCTTTGAGATGATTTTGGAAAGTTATCATGCCCAAGAGTCTTGGGACTGATTCCTTTTCGAATATAGCCAAGTTCCAGGAATGTGGGGACTTAGGAATGGAACACAAGTCAACAGACGACACCGCTAGATGGACAGTGAATGACAGCTGTTTCTTAAGTTTATTATGATTTTGAATCTATCATGGATGTCACTTCAAGCCATCATTCAACCGGGGTTCTTACTATGCTTATCTGGGCGTTGTAGGTAGGTAATTTTGTTTGTCATTTCATTTTGAGAGGCATGGAAACCTTGGAACATCTTGATATTTAGAAGTCGGTGCGCCATGTGGCATCCACATACCGAATATTCACTTTGAAAGCTCATTTGAGTGAAGAATGGGAGACTCGAGAGTCACGGATTCATTCTTTAAGACTCATCGATACCTAGGTATCTCCAAGGTAGTGGCGAGTATCTGGGGCCCCAGGTTCCTATGGTGATTTGCACTTTCCTACACCACATGATAAGATGCAGAAAAAGAAAGAGCAACCTCAAGTATCCATCATCATAATCACAATAACCCCGTACAACTATCAAGCTTCACGGACTGTAAGACATCCGCGTCGGAACCAAGTAACACAAATCTCAGAATTCAATACGTCATTAACAGATCCAAATCACCATTCAAATTACTCTCAATTTTCTCTATATTTCCTCCTCGATCTCCCCCAAAAAGTGAATGGAAGGTCCGATTAAGGTTCCTCCCTCATTTTGTTTTAATATCAAGTCTCAATTGAGTGATATAATCGAGTAATATCCTCAAGAGACGGGACACTATTATCAAAATCCACGTGGAAATATTTTGGGAATATAAACAAACGTTCAACCGCCTTCCCCTCCTCCTCTTCTTCCAAACACATTACAATCTTTCAACCAGACCTTAGATCTCCCACAGTCTTTACCAAGCTCTACTTCTAGTGCTTGATACCTAGATATTTTTTTTAATTCTTCCTCGTTTCTTTGGACGCGCCATTCACAACTCACATCTTGTCGATTTACCAGAGTCCCATAACTCAAAGTTTCTATAATATCGCCAAGATGCGTTTGCAATTTGCTTTGGCTATGCTATTGCCTTGATGGTAACAGCGTCGCCAATCACCGACTTTCTCAATCGCCTCAAGCGCCAAATCATCCAAACCTACGATGTCACCGAAGTCATCTATAATTCCAATGGGAAGGCAGTTGCAACGACCATCCTTCATGTCACCACTACCGTCTACCCTTCCACCACATTGGCACCAGTCCCAACTGCGACCTCCCACAGACTATGTTTCGACTGCTTTGTATCACCACAATATCCATCGCGCCAATCACTCTGTTCCTCTCCTCAAGTGGGACACAAAGCTTGTTGCATCCGCTCAAGTTCTTGCTGCAACATGCAAGTGGGGTCACAGCATGTGAGTACTTTTCTGGGTCACCTCCGTCCTACCAGCACTAATTCTTCTTTAGGAACATTAATGGCGGTGGATATGGACAAAACATCGCTGCATACGGTTCCACCAATGCTAAGGCTCTTGGTGCCAACAAGGAGATGGCTGTCGCTGCCACAAACATGTGGTACAACGGAGAACAACCAACCTACCTTCCTTCTTACTACGGTAAGAACAACCCAGATTTGACCACCTTTGAAGATTGGGGTCATTTCACTCAGATGGTTTGGCTTGGTACCAATTCTGTTGGTTGTGCAACCCAACTTTGTCAACCGATGGACATTTGGCCAAGTATGCCAGCTTGGTATACTGTCTGCAATTATTCTCCACCAGGTTTGTTCCTCATCTTACTCCTCAATCTGTATCTTTTCACTAATCTTTCCCCTTCAGGAAATATGGGCGGTCAATATGGCGTCAATGTCTTCCCGCCCCTTCGCCATCCCTCCGTCAACGTTATCAACGCTTAAGCAATTAAGCAGCGATGATCTGCACCCCGAGACAATTTTTCGACTTTTCATAATCGACAACTCAGTGCGATCGTTTCACTTTTCACGCGACCACGACAAACTTTCCAGTGTTTCACGAAGGAGCACCGTTTACGTGTTTACATGAATTTACGTCTCCATTTCCATTTTCGCTTTTCGCACAAAAGCAATAACTTGCCTCGTCACCTTTTAGTCGACCTTTCCTATTTCAAAGAGCTTTTTTCTTCACCTGTTTGTCTTTTCATCACGTCATTTGAAACAAACTCTAATCTATTTCTTCGTCACCTTTATTGCAAAAGCTTCCAACAAACACATCATCTGGCATGTTTCGCTTGATGCGTCTCATGTTTGGGTCTCGAGATGTCCAAGTCTCCACCTATATTGTTGCCTACGGAATTCTTACAATACTCGAAGACTTACATAGATTTGATAGATAGATTCGATCCGGTTGTGATATCTTATCTTTTGTCTCTCTTTTTTTTTTTCTCTTTGCTCGTTGCAATTGGCATATACATCATATTGGGGGCTTGTTTCGTTGGGATTTTGTTTTTGCAGGTACCTTTTTTTCAGAGATAGGATAGGATGGGTTGGGTCCACTGGATGGATGGGTTTAATGGATGGAGTTTATGCTTGATATTTGGGGGGGTATGGGCAAAAGTTCTATGGACGGAAAATGGGCTCCGCTGAAGCTATTTTTCTAAAATTCGATTGATTGGGCTTTGTTGCTTTCATACATTTGTTTGACTTGAGATATTACTTGTGATTTGAAGTGACTCGGTACTCTGTCTATGTGGTTGACGTGGTGTAGTGTAGATATTGGGATCTATACTACATCCATCACATCAAAAGCATCACGTTATTTGTACATCACTCTTTCCACTACGTGTCACCCACCCTAGGACCTAGGTACCTACCGAAGTAATCCAAACCCATCAACTCCAGCAACCCTAGTGAAAGCAAATCTTACATGTAGCATCCACCCTTCAGATCTATATGCCCAATCTCACCCCGTTACTCCAAGCATCTGTTGAACCACTTGTACCCATTCTGTGATTGTTTGTATCGACGTCAAAATTCTCAGGGGACATCAAATACCCATCGATGCGGAAACGATAGACTGCTGCACGCAGTGGAGTCTTTTCTTTCTCATCACTTGTTGGGATGATCTCGATATCTGTGATTCTGATTGATTGATTCATTGATTGAGTGATGGAATACAGAATGGAATGTAAGCTTAATCCAAACCAACTAGCTCTTGATAGATGCCACGACATATGTAGAGAACACATGTTTTTGTGTTCTTATACTATTTCTCTGCGTATGTGACGCGTGTCGTATTTTGTATTTTGTGATGGGTAGATAGTTATGCGGTGGAGATATAGTGTAGAGAAGTACTGTGATGCGATGTGATGTGATGTGATGTGATAGAAAATCGATTGGTCGATTATATTATATATACATATATACATATATACATATATACATATAATCCATATAAATAAAATCTGCGAGCAAACGACAGGAAAAGAGTAAGAGTGTGAATCTATGGAGTGATGGATATGAAAATGCGAGATGGGAGTAAACACACCTTGCAAATACACACTAGCGAAAGAAATCATATTGATATCTTTTTTCCCAGATGGAAATAGATATAGTGTGGTGTACCCAAACACCTCGGTGGGTACGCAGAATACCCCTCTCTTGCTGATGAAACCAAACCTCGGATTCGAATTCGCATTTTGTCTGTGTCGGTTATGGATGAGGTTATGTACCTACATGTATATATGTAGCACATTGAGTGACCTACCTAATACCTATCTATCTAGATCTTGATCAAGATGATCGTTTTTTATGATGAGATTTCTTAGAGGAGGAGGAATGATCGTTCCTTGTATTTTTTCCCTTCGTGCATCCTTTCTCACGCGCCCCTTTCCCATGTTCGGGTTAACTTTCACATTACTTACTTACTTCCTACTTACTAATGCCCCCTCTCCCTTCCTCCCTCCCTCCTCATATATTTCGAATACAAGATTCCCATGATTCTAACACCCATCACCTCCCAATTCTCCAATATCGAAGTATCAATTCCACAACAGCATCCTCAATATACCACTCACTCACTCACTCACCCACCAACTACCCACCACCAACTCCACCACATCCATCCAATACAAACGCCTTTCAATAAAATCGCAAAGCCGTCAATGGTACTGCAGCACCGCAGCATAAAGTGTAGTGTGGTAAACCTTATGGCGAGCGCGCATGCTAGTACATGTGGAGACTTGAAAGCAATAAAAGAGTGGTCATTTGATGTAGGGTAGGGATTGGGGGCTGATATTTTAGGCTTTTGTTCAATATCGATACCAATATACAGTACCACGCATGAGTCATTTATGAACGCAGAGGGGCTTCTAAGACGCGGGCTCAGGGAGTTGAGAGAGAGGGAGTGTGTGTGTGTGCGTATTTCCTCTAGGTTTTCGCCTGGTTGATGTAAGATGTCACTTGAAATCGCACACGTTTCATAGGTAGTTGGGGACAGCACACGAATAACCAACTTGGAAGAGAAGATATTGCGTTTATTTATGAATCCCGGAGATTCAATTCCTATGCATTCATGCCAAAGCTAACAGAGCGAAGATATTCTGGTATCATATCCGCCGAATCTTTAAAAAACCACTTTTTCTTCACCATCCATCCGTTCCTTCTGTCCATCCACTCTCACCCACAAACATTCATTTCACCACCCATTCTCTCATCTAGAAAGAACACCCTTGACAACTCCTTGAACGGTCTTCCTGCCTTCAATAGCAATCTCTCCAATTCCGCTTTCATCCCCGCTACCCTGCGCAAGCCAACGCTTCAACAGATCATTGCTCTCCTTGGGTTTAACATCATTTCCTCTTGTACCAACAGTAATATGTGCTACTTCATTCGTGCATTCCCATCCATCATCGATAATCCTAGCTACGATTGCCATGATACGGTCATCCCAGACGATCTACTTCTGTTAGTGGTCACCTCAAAAATAATGGAAAGATAGAACCTACTCTCTCCAGCATAACTTGACAGTTGCCAAATCCCGTTCCGGGACTCCATGGATCTTTAGAAACTTGATCCGCGTGTAAATCACTGTATTTCTGCCACAATTCAGGGAATTGCTTGGAGTTAGCTCGATGAATAAGAGTGACGTGAAATTCTGGTTGAACTCGGCGCATTCCCTCTAGGGCTCTGTAAAATTTTGCTTTGTTCGAGGATACACGACCGAAAGCATTGTCAAGCGTCTCCTTGATTTCATTTCGAGGAAGGTCGATGGAGACATATTCTAATGGTTTCCTCTTCTTTGCGATCTGTGGTTGCTGGTTTTGCTGTAATTAATTTGAGGTCAGCGTCATTCGGTACGTGTACGCTTTCGTTTTTGGGCATTTCATCATCATTATCATCATTATCATCACGTACATTTCTGTTCTCTTTCTGTTGATTCCTATTGTGATTATTAGGTGGTCCGCGACCAACATCATGTCTGAGATCTGGTTTGTAATCGCTCAATGCAAATTGAATTGCCTCATCAAGATCCTCGCTCGTGGGCAAATCGATAAAAAGCTTTGGAAACTGTGCTGAAAGCTGTCCAACAACAGTCTCAAGATTCTCTCGCGAGTCCTTAGTAGGGTCCAGTTCGATAGAGCAGTCGAATCCGTCATCTGGTGGTGCAAATATATTTACTGGTTCAAAGCGTTGAATAAAAGTTTCCATGATACCAACGACTTTCTTCGTGTCTGATGCTGCTTGGAGAGTCTGATGATTATCGCCGCGGTTAATTACTCGATCTTGAGTAACTTGTCGAACTTTCTCGATGCTTGCTCTATCGTGAACAAAATTCAAGACGACGAGTCGAACATGCGGATGAGTAAGATGTACATCATCAATCAGTTGCTTTCGTTCATGTCTTGAGGCGTTATTTCGATCAGCAAAGACAACAGGCTTTTCTTCGAGCTGTGTCAAAATTTCCTTAGTGAATCGAGGTGGACGACCCTTGCCCGTAATGTTGTCATTTTGAACATGGCCCCAACCAAATAGATGAGTGAGTGCAAGCGCAATAGTTGTCTTTCCACAACCAATTGTTGCAACTGGACATAGAATGACATTATTATGCACTTCATCTGGTGAACCTCCAAGTTGAGAATATTCTTGACGGATAATATCCGAACCCTTCATTTTAATTTCCTTCAGGAAATCATCTCTCAATTTGATAATACCATGATTATGTGCATACTCTTTCCCCAACTTAGGATCCTCGGCAAGACGTTTTCGTGCAAACAAAAGGTATTCTTCTGTGATCTTGACATGCTTTCTAAATCGAGCTGGTTTTCCGGAAATCAAGGCCTTTGTACATTCACGCCATTGTCTATACATCAAATATGGCTCTTCGAATTTGTACTTGAAGAACCAATCTGAGTACGACTCGTTTGATCTGGTACGAGCCTTGCAACGAATGACGAAACCTTCGATATCACGTCCTTGATAAGATCCAGTCTCAGCTACTTCATAAAGGAAAGCTTTGGCGACTTGAATATCATCCATTACCAGGAAATCAGTCTTTTTGAATCCCCATTCGGCTGCAAAAGCCTGGACTTGTTCTCCAGGGTAAGTCATAAACTCTGGCAGGTTGATATTGATACCATGAAGATAAAGACCTGCATCATCTTTACCATAAGCTAAGATGTGCTCCTCGAAATCATCATCGCAAAGCTCGGCCACCGCAGTGGCATTTCTCTTTCTAAGCTCTCTGGCGAGATCCTGTCGAGTTTTTCCAATGGCTTGAAGTTGTTTGTCGACCCATCTGTCAGCAGCTTTTGCGTGGCTCATTTCTGGTTTATTCCCTTGGCCGGTAGAATGTTTGCTGCAAACCAATAGAGTGCCATCGTGAAGACCACTAATAAAGACAATACAGCCATTTTCTTTGAGACTCAATTCATAGGGACCCTTGGTGTTGGCTTCGATTTGGTTCCATTTCGTAGAACTAACCTCTTCCGTATTGAAGAATTTATCATAACCACGGACTGCAACCTCTAGCTGACCCTTTTCATTTTTACTGGTGAAGAGACCTCGTGCATATGTAGGTAAATCATGGCGCTTGTAGTCCCAATCTTGAAAACGCCAAGATTCGACGACAATCTTTGCTGGAGATCCATCGACCTGGAAAGGAGTTTTCTTGCAACTAAAACCATGTTTCTTTCCTTTGCCGGCGCTGTCATTGAGATTTCGAAGAAGGGTCTGAACTTCTTCTACATTTTGAGATTTATAAGGGACATTTTTGTGTTCAGCCATGGCGACAGAATATTTTGGTAGATGTGTTAGAGCGGGGTGGTTTGAAAGATTTAAAAACTTTGATGTAGTAGTAATAAATTGGGAAGTTGAATGATCTTTGAGGAAAATTGAAAGAAGTCTTGGATATAGAAGTTTGTGGGCGAATAGCATCCAAGAGAGACTCTTGACTTTTTATCAACACCAAGCAACCACACGGGATCCGTATGATGTTCCTTCCTGATCCAGCAAAGAGTCACACCGGGAAAATGGACTAGGTAGATACTGGGTAGTTTAAATGAAGCTCAAGATATTAAAATCTTGAGAAAAGTAGTAGGCAGAGTGCAAGGCAGGGCAGGGACTATGGATACCCAGGTCAATACCCAAAGAAGAAAAAGGTCAGGCGAATCCCTTGATCATTGGATAATTCTTAGATTGTCTGGGTACGAGTAGGGCTGAGCATTAAAAAAATAGGTGACGGGTATGAGCGCTTAGTGGGGTTCTTGGGCTCGGTCATCGGGATATGCGGCCGCTGCACTGTAGAAAATCCTCGGAGGCCCTCCTACATTAGCCACAAACAGAATAATTTTTGGAAGAGACGCATTGTATATATTGAAATTTCCACTTTACGGTGAAGACAATAACACAACATTGACTCATACTCGAATATACGATGGCTCCAGCCCAACCCAATCCTTTCCTTCTAGCCGCCGACAATTCTCCAGATCTCCTGCCCCTCCTTCGATCGAACCCCGCCTTAGCTTCTGCTCAAGATGAACACGGATATTCGTTAATGCACGCTGCTGCCTCTTACAGTCATTTAGACCTTCTGCGAGCGCTTGTCACCGAGTTTGATGTCAACGTCGATTTGAAAGACGAGGATGGAGAGACCGCATTGTTTGTGGCCGAAACACTAGATTGCGCAAAGCTATTGGTTGAGGAATTACATGCCAACTTTACAATTAGAAGTGCTGAGGATGGGTGCAATGCAAGGGAAAGAATCGAGGCAGAGGGCGACTATCCAGAAGTCGCGGTGTATCTCCGAATCAAGGAACTTGAAGCCGAGGGAGGCCTTCCAGCATCAAGTGGTACAGATGCTATAGTGGTCCACCCACCACTAGTACCCGAAGGACTGTCGGTCAACATTGGTACCATGAATCCAGAAGAAGATGTAGGAGAGGTCATTGATCCCGAGTTTAAGAGACGTATTGATGAACTGGCTGCTCGAGATGATTTCCAAACACCTGCGGGACAAGAGGAATTACGAAAGCTCATTACGGAGGCAATTACAGGCGAAGTAGGAGAAGGACGAGAAGTGCGTCAACGAACAGAATGATTTGCCATCTATTCTACTTCCCACAAGACATAATCGTTAGGGACATCAGGCAACTTCAATACCGTACAGTTCTTGCTCTCGCCATTCCAGCTATCGCTAAACCCACCAACATAATACGAAAACCAAGCATCTTTCGGCGCGGCGAGTAGAGCTTGGATAAAAGTGTCATGTGCCCATGCAGGGGAAATAAATCCAGTCCATGTGACTTTCACCAACTCCTCCGCTTCATCTAAACCTATCGGGGGTTCGTAACGGGACAGAAAGGGGTCGATGTTGTCAGTTGAATTGACTCGTGGACTTGCTAGCGAAATTAATGAAAGCCACTCATGAATTTCGGCGGCGAATTCGCGAAAGTCCTCGTCATAGTTTCTATTGTTCTCTACTGGAGGTTTGAATTTAGGTCTCTTGACTTGATAGTCACTCGATACTTTTGGAATGCATGTTATCTTATTTGGATGATGTGGAGATAATGGGTCAGATGGTAATACTGGCGAAGAGGTTAGTATTGCAGCAAGAGGTGTATATAGATTCCCACCTGTAGCGCCTAGATCACAGAAAAGCCACGTCACAGGAGTAGTCAATACATTCTTGAATGCATATTCAATCCTTCGAAAACCCTTCTTGCCATGTAACATTGATGGTAATCGTAAATTTATCTCAAGAACTATGAATTGATTAGCAAATCCATTTTCCCAGCCAAAAAGTACATACTCCACCGAGGGCGATGTTCTCGTTTCCCCTTAATTCCCTCCGGTTTGCCTACCAAACCTGATCTTTCATAAGTTTCCTTATCCAAATGCAAGGTTAAGATTCCTATGACAACGTCAGTAGGTTCTGCACAGTAGAACGTTCAAATTTGAGACCCTACCCTCGCTCAAGGAAAACACATTATCAACCTCCATCATTCCCTTCGAAAGCATCATAACATTCCCTAGAGCCCCGTAAGCAAAACGCAACCTCTCAATTCCCTCACGTGCCTCACCTTTCTTGATATACTCCGTAAAAAACTCTCCCTCCAACAATGCACTCAATGGAAGCACAACCCGACTATAAACCGGACTCTTCTCCCCCAAAACTCCATCCATCCCGTTCTTCATAATATCATACAATTCCTTGGGTAATATCATCTCAACCTTGTTGATAAATTTATGACCCAAGATATTCACAAACGGTTTCCGTTTTACCGGAGGTTGTTTGGGATCGAGATGACCCATGGTCCCATGCGTCACGTAGCATTTCTGCTCGTGTTTGGTATCTTTCGGGAAGCTCAACATCTTCAATGTGTGTGAGGGCTTAGTTAGAAGAGGTAGATAGATCGACGCACTTTTGAGGATTTATTTTGATAGAGCGATTTTGGGTTTAGCGTGGATGGCATGGGCTCGAATACGCTAATGTTAACCCTGGTAAGGATTTTTGGAGGGGTATTTTTTCGCGGGAGTCGTGGTGAAAAATATTGTGAATGCATTATTGAAAATTACATACAGGCATTGTGAGCCGATTTTAATTCAAGGCTTGATCAGAGACTTTTGTCTATAATTCTCAGAGACAATATTTCCAATTCACGAGACTCCGAAATTTTGACGCCGATTTGTTTGTTCGTGCTTGCCTGAGACTTTCCACACCAGTGTAGTGGTTTGCAGGAGCGAGACGAGAAGAGATTCTACTCGAACACCTGGTTCTGTTGGAGGATTAGACATCATCAAAAGATCAAAATGAAGTGTCTGATAAGATTCACACAAACGCACGAGACGTTTCGTCTTGCCGAGATCCAGGCGTTAGCAGAGCTCGAGAATATTCCTTTACAGGTTGAACACTATGTTTCGAATGTAAGTGAAATCTATCTATCGTCAAAATCTCATCATTGTCGTCAGTTCTAAGTGATTGATAGTCACCCTTTTGTTTCGTAGACGTCCCGTCTGCAGAAGCCGCTGCTCGATTGGTTAAGAGAAGCATTCTCTCAAAAGCCATCTACGAAGTTTGGGGCACGGGTTCTACGTATGAAATTCTTCATGATGATGTAAAGACATCTACAAAAGATCTATGGTCGCTTTACAAAACCTGCTCTTTCAAATTTACCGTTGATTGTTTTCAAAATACAAGACCTACCACCGAACAGCGAGCACTCATTAATGAATTCCGATATTTGGAGTTCGAGGGTCCTATCAAAATGAAAGGAGCAGATGAAGAGTTCTGTATCTTGGAAGAATGGCAACTTGACGCTGCTGCCAATGGTATCACAACACCTTCCCAAGTAACCTTTGGTCGATTTCTCGGCGCTAGCGAAAGAGATATTGTAGGAAAATACGATCTCAAGAAGAGAAAGTATATCAGTACCACCTCTATGGATTCCGAGCTCGCATTAGTCACTGCCAACATCACATTAGCAGCCCCAGCAAAATTATTCTACGATCCATTTGTCGGAACGGGTAGTTTCCCAGTTGCATGTGCACATTTCGGCGCGCTTGCTTTCGGGAGCGATATTGACGGGCGAAGTATCCGAGGAAAGGAAACGCGAAATTTGCATTCGAATTTTGTACAATACGGTCTCACGAATCAGTTTGGAGATACCTTCGTGGCCGATCTCACAAATACTCCATTGAGATGCGCGAGATTGTTCGATGGGATATTGTGTGATCCGCCCTATGGTGTAAGAGAAGGTTTAAAAGTACTCGGGAATAGGGACCCGACTAAACCTAGAATCCCTATTATGTTAGAAGGCGAAACACAACCTCATCACTTGTATAGATAACTTTCTTTACGCTGATTCTCCCAGAACAATGCTAACCCGAATGCCAGACAAGATGCCTACATCCCACCCAAGAAACCATATTCATTCCTCGCCATGCTAGACGACATTCTTGATTTCGCAGCCATCTCCCTCGTAGATAATGGTCGCCTATCCTTCTGGATGCCAACTGCAAATGACGAAGATCAAGAAATCAAAATCCCTACACATCCTTGTTTACAGATTACAAGTGTTTGCACACAAGCTTTTAATAAATGTAAGTCCTTCTCATACAGGTAGTCAGTAGCGGATTGTTAATACAGAAACAGGGTCAAGAAGACTTATTACATATAAGAGAATACCGGATTCCATGGTAGATCCTGAACAAATCCGTGAGAGGACAGCTAATGGGTCGGGTGTTACTGCTGATGAATTGAATCCGTTTCGAAAGGGATATTTCCAGGGATTCAAATCAGCGTTTAGGGATACACCGAAATAAGAACAAGGAATGATTACATGCTCATTGGGTACCCTTTCGTGTGAGATCTACCAGTTCTTAAGTCTCTTGTGAATCTTTTGATGTGTGACTATGCTTTGAGAATCGGTTCATGATTTACGCACTTTTATTCACGGGCGGATTTCAATACAATGACATTCAATATGATGCTTCAGTCTAGAAAATAATAGAAGATTAATGAAGATATATTAAAGATAACCAACCCGTACCAGTTGCTAAACACGACATCAAATTACATCCACATCCAATTCCACCATTCTTCTCATCCCCATCTCCATCTCCCCCTCCTCTCAATCCCCCCCTCTCACCCTACAAAACCCACACCAACCCCACCGCCCCCATCACCATCCCACCCAACACCCCCGTAACCTGCGCCGCACCAGCCTTACTCGAGCTCTCAATCGGGCTCGGAGTGCCCCCACCATTCTTCCCCGTCTCCGTCGTCTTCGCGCTCGTCTCGGTAGTTTTCGCTTCCGTTTCCGTCTCCGTGGTAGCCGTTGCACTTAATTTTTTCGTCGTCACCGTACTATTTCCGCTCGCGATCGTCAGGCCTCCTGAGCCCGTGATCGGGACGAGGGTGGCGGTCGTCCCGTTGATGATGCCGGTGAGGAAACCGGTGATGCTTGGGGCTGCGGGGGCGGAGGTGGTAGCGGATGCGGATGCGCCGGATAAGAGAGCTTCGAGAGAGAAGATGCTGGCTTTTGCGGGGCCGGCGTTGATGATATAGGTTTGAGCGGCGGGGGAGAGAGAAGTATACCAAGCGGGGAGGGAACTGAGGAATTCTTGTTCGAGTTGTGCGAAGCCCGAGGGAGAAGATTGCAGAGCGAGGACGGATGTGGGGATGCTGGTTAGTTGGGCGGCGAGGGATGGGTCGGGAATGAGGGCGGAGGAGAGAGAGGAGATGCTGGAGGCTATGGCGGAGCTATAGGGTGAGGGGGGTTTAGTTATTTGGCGCTATGATGGGTAGTGAAGGAGAATATGGAGAAAGAACAGTTGAGAGAGTAAAGGAGATCAGAAAACATACGCATCAACATCCTGTCGTCTATCCAACTGCGGGCTGCCAAGCACCACAGCGCAAAGACTAGCCGTCGTCAAAAGATTGATATACATAATGCAATTACCGAACGAACGCGACCGCTATATCTATCGAAAGTACAAAAAGAATTCCTAGAAACTTTTCGTGTTCGCAAGTGAAAAGTAGATCCTTCAGAAAAGAAGAGAAGAGAAGGATAGAAATAACACGAAGACATATCAAAACAAACCCCTCAATCTCCACATTCGGGACATTGGTACAAGCCCCTGATAATAAACACGAACTGTGTATCACTCTTCAACACTGTGTATTACCCAATTGCGGAAATGGAAATGTCTTGTTTGGGCTTTCTTCTGTTGTGATACCTTCTTTGACCAATTGTTGCTTGGGGCGAAAAGGAATATGTAGTGATGGTTTGAAGTTTCATGCAGATCTACAGGTACGGGTCGGACGAGTGAATTACTGCTTGGAGAGAAAATAAAGAGCGTTCAATGTGGTGTGTTTATTTTGCTTCAAAGCTCGGGGGTTGGGACACAACTTTGTGTTATATTGATGAATATCTGCATGAAGGGATGTATGAGAACACGTCTTTTACCACTTATTTTCAAATCTGACAGGGTGTGAAACATGGGCGTTGTGGCTGATATATTGATTTTTCTAAATCCAGCCATGTATATTCCCGAGGCAACGATGTAGGACGGGAAGTAGGAAACTTATGAGCCGTT